GAGCTGAGCGGGAGCTGAGCGGGAGCTGAGCGGGAGCTGAGCGGGAGCTGAGCGGGAGCTGAGCGGAGCGTGGACTGTTGCTTACTGACCGGGCGCGGCGTCGCAGGCCAGGTGGCACCGGCTGGCGTAGGTCTGGAAGTCGGACGCGCACACCTTCGAGGAGGCGGGCGCTGGCGGGCACGGGCAGGCCGCCAAGGCCACGGGCAGCAGCACCAGCACGATCCACATCGCGATCCTAGACTTTACAACCAAAGACCATCACAGTAGAAACGGTCACCCACCGCCCAAACGTTTCGCATTTGCCATTTCGTAAATGGACCAAGGTGCCTTGCCTGCGAGTCTAGGCGAGTCCGAGCAAACTGTGGATGGCTAGTAATATTTCTGTCTTTTCGAACTCACAGGAAGTAGGAGAGATAGCGGTATCTCACTCGCTCCTCTCCAACAAACCTCTTATTGGATTCGCGATAAGGACAGCGTGCTCGCCACACGAGTGCATATGCAAAACCCGCGGAAACTACTTGGGAAGTCGCTGAGGGAACCAATTCTTATTGTTAACTGGAGATGACTAAGAGTCTTGAGAGTGGCGCGGATGCGCCACGGTGTCTGAAGTGAAGTAAGTTGCATTTCTTATTCTTTCGTTCACTTTCGGTGACGTTTCCTCCTGTAGGATGCCGTCTACAACTAAGAAACCACCTTAAGTTTTAAATTCAATTTTTTATCAGAATCATTTATAAGAGTTATTTTATCTGTTAATTGTTGGATGAAACACCTTACAATGAGTATAGCTGTAACCTACTTGATTGGCAAAGAGAACGCCAATTTCAGCTTATTGCTTTGGTTGTGTGTTTTTTTTTTACAGCGTGCCGTGTGAGCCGGGCTTAGTCACCGGCAGGGACCAGTAACATAACAAATTAAACGTTATTTTCTGGGAGTTTTCCGTTACGTTACCGCACCAATAACTTAATTGAGCATATGTGCAGTTCCATGATACGTAACAGTAACCGAATAAAGTTACATTTTGTACAGTTCCATTTTTTGTAACGTTACAAAATACGATCCAGACCGTGCGTCTGAGTTATTATGTTCGTGACAAATGTAACGTTACACAAAACCGATGCAGGCAGTTACGTTACATTATAGAGGTACGTTCTGTAACGTTACAGATCCGAACTGTCCAAGAAAAAAACAGATGTACCGTTACGAATAACGGAACAATAACGGCCGCAAAAGTTACGTTACAAAAATTTCCCAGTCGGACAAGATTGCAGGTGCCACGTCCACGTCTCCGCGGGCGTCTCGGGCCTCGAGCTCGATGTCTACCACCACCGCCTCGACCCGGAGCTACACCTACGCCCTCCCGAGAGAAACGGCTGAATGCACCATGGACTTCGCCTGGATTGTCGCTGGCTGCGCAGAGAATCCCCTGGTCTAATCCATAGTGATATGAACAAATCCATGCCTTCCAGAGCTCTGCAAAATCGCCTCGTCTACCGACCGAGATCGACCGGCAGGCGGTCGGCACCGACCGCGTTCAGGTGAGAGGTGAGACAAACACCCGCTCTGTCTCCCCTCCTCACCTCTCACCTGCACGCACGCGGTCGGTGCCGACGACCGCCTCCCGGTCGAGCTCGGTCGGTCGACGAGGCGACTTTTGCAGAGCTCTGATGCCTTCCTCCGCCCGCATACAGGACAAATTCAGTCAAGACCGGAGCTCAAAGAAAGGAACTTAAAAGCATATCCCATGCCCGGTGTCGAACCCTCGACCTTGTGGATGGCTGACTCGGACGCTCTCCACTGGACTACAGCGCATCGCTGGTGGCGACGGGCAGCGCACCGCTGTCATCCGCTCGCGAATTCCTTCCGGCAAGCGGTGGCCAGCGGCGACTGGCGAGCGAACCAGATCGGTGCGCTGCCCGCTCGCTCCAGAGATCCGCTCTGGCTCAGTGGAGAGCGTCTTGGGCAGCCGCTTCCCAGTCGGGGGTTCAGCACCGGGCAGGGGAAATGCTTTTAAGTTTCTTTGTTTGAGCTCCGGCCTTGACTGAATTTGCCCTGGATGCGGGCGGAGGAAGGCGAAGGAATGGATTTGTTCCCAGCACTCCGTGTGGCTGTGGGTCGAGGTGGTGGTAGGTGGTGATCGAGCCTTAGGCCCAAGTCGCCCGCGGTGGCGTGGCGGTGGCACATGCGTCGGGGGAAAAAGTTTTGTAACGTAACTTTTGCGGCCGTTATTGTTGTGTTATTCGTAACGTTACTTATGTCTTTTCAGGGACAGTTTCAGACCCGTAACGTTACAAATTGTAACAGAGTGGCTTTTACCATTTCGTGTCGGTACGATTCGTAACGTTACATCTCAAAGTTTGTTAAAAGTTCGTTCCATGAAACGTTTTTTTTGGAACCGGCCCGAACTGGTTACAAATTGTAACCAAACCGATGATGGACCAGTTCTGTTACCGTTATTTTTACCGTAACGACAAGAGAACGAAACTTGATCGGTACACTATGTATTTTGTAACGTAACGTCAAAGTGTAAGTTACTGGTCCCTGGTCACCGGCCGCTGGCCCCCTGTGGAGCCGAGGGTAGGCCACCCGCCCAGCTGTGCTACACTCAGCACAACGATTTGCCTAGCCAGCAGGCGTTTCGCTCCCATACGACTGTACTGCGTCATTCGAATAGTTTCGTTTTGGGTACGAACTGTTCGTATTGGTATTGGTATCAAACTTTTATTCGTAAAATCTCGATTCAATGTTTGTTCCAAAAGTGCTAGTAGAGGACGGGCTCGTCATCTTAGTATAACAACTGAGTTGCAAACTGATTGTTATTTCACGAATGTGTATTTGCCATTTTTAAACAACAAAAAGTCCGCGAAGAAAAATTTTCAGGACCTTATTACTACGAAATTCTTGTGCGTGCGGGCGTTCTAACCTCTTTGATAGGCAGCCAAAGACTGCTACCTTTACGTTCTCCGGTAAATCATGGCGATCTCTTGCTAATATCCTCAGTCCAAAGAGGATCTCCACCCGTGCTAGCGGGGGTACGGCGCGGGCGAGTACAGCACGGGCGCACAGCGCGGTCGTAGACAGCACGGGAGTGGACAGCACGTGAGCGAACGTCGCGGGCGGGGACAGCAGGCGAGTGGACGGCGTGGGCGAGGGTGTGGACGGCACGAGCGGCGAGCTGCGTCCTTATCTCTGCGATTGGGAGATAGTAGCGGGACCTTGCACTTGTACTGGTTTGGACAGAACGGAGGGGTGTATGACATGGTTGTCACCTGTGGGACGTGGTTGTCACCTGTGTCACGTGGTTGTCACTTGCCACCTGTGTGACACGGATGGCACCTGTGTGACGTGGTTGTCATGGTTGTCACCTGTGTGACGTGGTTGTCACCTCTGTGACGTGGTTGTCACCTCTGTGACGTGGTTGCCACCAGTGTGAAAAATGGTCGTCACACACTCCTTTGCGTGTGACACGGCAATACGCACGTCGATGTGTGCTTGCCCGGCGTGTTGTGTCTTATGGTGTCACGCAGGGTTGGAGGATAACGATACAGTCTGGACCACTTCATTTTTGTTTGACGTTTATTGCGTGTCTTTTCTTAGAGACTTATATGAATTCACTCAGACCGTTCCGTCCGGCTCACCAGGCTGCCGCCGCCAGGGCCCGCGCCAGCCAGGTCGCCGTCAACGCCACGGCGGTGGTGGCGCCGAGCCTGGCCCCCGGGGCGGAGCCCCCCTTCTTGTCGTCGTTGCCCCCACCGCTGCCGCCTCCACCGCCGCTGCCGCTGCCCAGGCGGTTGCACTCGCACCCGCACTTCATGAAGTCCATAGTACACGAGGCCATGCATTCCTGGTCACTCGGCTTGCACTTGAAGTTACAGGTAGTCATGGTAGAGAAGCATTGCTTCTCGGCGATGCAGTCGTTTAGAAGTTTGGCGTTGTCTGGGTTGGCGTCGCTGCCGGGCATCTTGAGGCAGTTGCACTCGCAGTTCGTCTCGCACTTCGTCTTGCAAGTGTCGCTGGTGCCGCAAGCGGGCTGGCAGCTTTGGCCAGGACACTGGAAGAGGGGAGCGCACAGGTAGAGAGGATATTGATTGAACGTGGACATGGCAATGTTATTGCGTGTTATTGTTCAAGATTGCAAATAAAACCACACGCAATAATTAAGGTCTTGGAGAACACAACGCATAGTCAGTCAGGAGCACTGGGAGGCAAACAGTTATCATTATGACGATTTCAGACTCACTTGGTTCGTTGCCGTGCACGCTGTATACTCCTGCAAGTCGTCCCACGCTGAGCGGGCGGAGGTGCGCCGCCGCGGGTCCACCGGGACCGCCGGGGCGCTGGGGAGGGTGACGTTCAGGCGGGACATCGACTTCCTGAGTGAGCACGGCCCGGGGTAGGCGACGGACAGACCTGAAGCCCCAAACAAAATGTGAGTTTCGGGCGAATCGAATTTGAGCCGACTGCAACAAGAGTCCGATTGTATTGGTGAAAGAAAACGCCTCGGCGGCGTGAGACTGACCGGGCAGGGCGGCGCAGTCCAGGTGGCACTGGCTGTCGTATGTGACGAAGTTGGAGCCGCACACCTTGGAGGCGGCGGGCGCGGGCGGACACGGGCACCCGGCCAGGGCGAGCGGCAGCAGCACCAGCAGCACCGGGGCGGTCAGCATCGCACGGTTCGCCATCTAGACGGTCACACAGCGTCCCTGCACACGGGTAAGGCGATCACACAAATAGTCGGCGTAAGTTTACGGGAAAAGTTTGCATGATGTGTGCCGTAAATTTACAATTTGAAACAATTCCAAACGTCAAGCACTTTGTTTCGACGACTTGGAATTGAACGACAAGCAAGAATGGGGTGTCTCAAGTTAACACCATATTTTGTGAATAAGAATTACAATGAATATTGTAAATTTCCTAAGAGTATTTTTCGTAGTGGATGCATCTCGAGCAAGAACTGCTGCCCTTTGAAGTTTTTTCTTCTTACCTGAAACTGTGGTTTCCACCGACTGCTGCACCTACGCTGCAGACTCGCTGAGGATCTATGAGAACCGACTGCCGCTCTTCGCTTTTATACCATGCATTAGGGCAGGTTATAACTATTCAACGAATGTGACGTCATGTCAGTATTAGTATAGTAGGGTATCGAGAATCCATTCTGTGACGTGTTATCACCCTATACCTACAGATACCGGCTGAGTGTAGCTCAAACGTTGAGGGGTGTTAAAGGAATGCAAGAGTAGTTACACTTTAAGGGACGGACCACAAGTACTCACTCCGAACAGTTCGTAGGCCGAGACACGTCTGTCAGGGCAAGGCCTGCGTGCAACGCACGGACTCCAGCGCTAGTCGCGGGCGTGCTGACGCTGCACTACTATCGCTTGTTCGTCTTTTCGGACCCGCGCTGTTTAAATGATGCGCTCCCCTGACACGTCACATTCGTTTAAATGTGAATCATGTCACATTCGTTTGCATATTGTGTCATATTCGTTTTAACGTGAATCGGCCAAGCCTGGTGCCACTTGAGCATCAATTCACGTGACGTCACGGTCAGCCAAAGAGCACATCCGCCGTGATGACCGTCACTCTTCCCAGATCCTCGTGTGTTGGCCAGGCCAGCGGGGAGACGCCAGTGTTCCCCCCCACCTCTTCACAGATACGCCAGCTCTGCAGGCATACGTCGATAAGCTCATCTCGACGGGCTGTTTTTGAGGAAACAGCGAACAACGGCAGAGCGCGGCGAGCGCCGGGGAGTCAGGCAGCCCAACGAGCACGCCGTTGGGGCGACAGGTGCCGCCTCAGATAGAGCCGGAGGAAGACGGCCTCACTGCAGAGACTTCTTTAACGAGTAGTGTTCAGCTTCAGCCCTTGAGATTTATCAGCCGGGCTGGTAACCTCGCACTACTTGCACCTTCACATTGTGGACGCCTTATCGTTCAAATCCGGCCTTATCACATGCAGGGAGAATTAACACTTTATGTTTGCCTTGCTTTCCACGGTAGTGTGCAAATTTTCGTGGTCACGTGGAAGGAAGCTCACTGTCGCCGGGCCCGCCGCGGGGTGCGCTGTGGCTAAGCACGCTCTCGCCCGAGAATCGAAATAACGCACCCCGTGTTTTAGAAGTATATCAGTATGGCCGACTGCGCGTCAAGCCATGTCTTCGTCGCACCACCAAGTGAGTCCGTGAGTCGTATCGAGCATACATACATTTCTTACACGAGCTGGTTAATACAGGTTTGCTCTTTTCTAAAGTCGCAAATAAATTATTTGTAAAATGTAAACAGCTTTCTGTTTTATGCGAATTTATGTATGTTACACACTAAATCTAAAAAATGTGCATAATTATGAACATTATAAACACACTTGCATAATTATGCACAAATTTGTAAAACTTATATGCACACATGGACGCATGGTATGGTATACTTAGGCACAAATTATTGCACCGATCCAAAAGGGCTTCGGTCCAAATTTGTCAATAATTAAGTTCAAATTTTCTACTAATTGATGTACACACACTAACTATGGATTTGTATCTTTTATTCGCACGGTTTTAAGCCATCAAATTTTTTGCACACCATTCTGCCTTGGCAATTTGAACTTTTTTATGCATTTCGTTGCACGAAATTATGCATTTTTGCGAACGAATTCGCACTCAGAAAACCACTTTTTTGTGCGAAAGAAATATTTTCGTAGCCGAAATCAACAAAGTTTTAGTTGTAACAATTAACATTTTCCGTTAGTTCTACAAAATTCTTTCGTTTGAAGAAATGGAAAACGGGGTTAATGAAAATTTGTCATCGCCCTAACGAAAAACCTTTGTTGATTTCAGCTACGAAATGTTTTCGTTACGCTAAATAAAATTTCGTTCCCGCAAAGAAACGGTTTTCTGAGGGCGTCCGAAACGAAACGTTGGTTTAAGGTTAGCGCGAATATTTGCACAATAAACATGGAAAGACATTTAGCGTGTAAAGTCGTGCATAATACCGCATGTATCATGCAGTACATACGCATGTACAAAAAGGTACCCTCGAACGTTAAATGTGTGCCCTTGTGAAGAAATGTCCCAGCTTGGCAATGTACTGTACTATCTCCTGTACCTTGTCAGGGAAGCGCTTCGGCGTGCGCCACCTGCAGGCGCTGCTCATGGGCCTGGTGGTCTTCTTCGCCTACTCGCTGCGCACCAACCTGAGCGTGGCCATCGTGGCCATGATCAGGCCCGGCTCCAACTCTTCGGCGGCCAATGCCACTGCGGGCGCAAGCACACCCTATCAGGTTCGACCAGTAAAACTACATTTGTAGTGTATGCCTTGCCAAAAGTTTTCCGGTACACATCGTTTACTAGGAAGATGAGGGATTAGGTTGGCTTTTGTTTACATTACGACTGGTCTCTACTCGAAATTCGGTGTATTTATTTTTGAATGTGGATTAACTTCGACAAAAGAATGGAAGGGAACTTGATAGAGCTTCTCCGAACTTGGATGAGCACCGCAATGGAAGTTGTTCACCATCTTCCGCGCGATGGTGAATCACGATGAGCTTCAGCGCTGTTCTTCGACTTGGGCGTTGACATATCGCTTCTTTGCCTGCAGGTGTTCGACTGGGACGAGAGCACGCGCGGCGCGCTGCTCAGCGCCTTCTACTGGGGCTACACGGTGAGCATGGTGCCGAGCGGCGAGCTGGCGCAGCGCCTGGGCGGCTCCCGCCTGCTCGCCGGCGCGCTCATCGCCACCTCGGCCGCCACCATGCTGCTGCCCTGGTGCGCAGACCTGGGCGGCTGGCAGGCCGTGTTCGCCAACCGCGTGGTGCAGGGCCTGGCGCAGGCGCCCGTCTTCCCCTGCGCCTTCACGCTGCTCGGGGTCTGGGCGCCGCCGCAGCAGCGCGTCACCTTCACCACCTTCGTGCTGGCCTGTAAGCGAGTAGTCACTCCACTCTAGCCTCACTCTGACGCCACTCTGATATGGCGACGACATAAGGGATCATGCAGAAAGTACGTCCAACAGTCGCCGTCGCGAACCAGCCAAGTTCAACTCCTGCACCCCTGCACACTGTGAAAAATTGTCGTACCGGGTACAGGAAAATTTGCCATGGAAGAAGTCGTACAAGTACAATCTAAAATTGTACAATTTACTAGCCCTAATGTATCGACTTGGAATCGAATATCGAGCGACAGCGGGATTTTGTACATGTACGACTCGTATTGTAAATGGCAAATTACAAAATATATCGTTCCTACAAATATATTTCTCACAGTGCAAGCTCTCATGGCGCCTGGTGGATAGGCAACATCATGACTGCAGTGCTTGCGCGTATTGCGGTGTGGCCTACTCTGCGTCTCGCCGGCACTGAGCTCCCATAATATAGTGAATTAATCTGAAAAAAAAAACAACGGACGTATTTTCTGGACGATCCCTAAGCATGACGCCACTCTGATGCCGGCGACATGAGCATGACGCCACTCTGACGTCGGTGACATGAGCATGACGTTACTAGAGCTGTGCGAATTGTTCGACATAGAATCGAATCGGACAAATTCGAATTCGTTCGATTTCGAATTTGCCTGATTCGATGTCGAATAATTCGAAATTTCGAATCGGGTTGGTTCGACATCGAATCGCATTGGGGTCTAGTGTGAGGCAACGCTCTGCCCGCACTCAAGTTGTACCGTCGTCGACTTGCATACGAAAAATACAGCAGATTTTTTGTCGATGGGATTCGGGCTCGAATTTGGACTGATTCGATTCGATTCGATTCGAAATTTTTGAGCCAATTCGATTCGATCCGATTCGAAGAAAATTTTTGAGATTCGATTCGATTCGAAGGCAAAAACCTCGATTCGCACAGCTCTAGACGCCACTCTGACGTCGGTGACGTGATGATGTTGTGCGCGGGTAAGGACCGTCTTGCAGTCCAGATGCTGGGCCCGATGTTGACGTCGCCGCTGTGCGGCCTCATGGCTTCGGTGTGGGGCTGGCCGTCCATCTTCTACTCGTTCGGCTTGGCCGGGGTGGTCATGGGCCTGCTGCAGTGGTTGCTGGGCGCCGACCGTCCCTCGGAGCACCGCTGGATCTCTGCCGAGGAGCTGGCCTACATCGAGTCGAGCCAGCGCGCCGAGGGGTCGACCAAGGTGGCGTACAGAGGGATGAAACTTGCGACGTGAACCTCGACGTGTTCGACTGATGCTCATCCTTTGCCGCGCAGGTGTCGCCGCGCACGCCATGGGCCAAGGTCATGACCTCCGTGCCCGTCTGGATGTGTTGGATCACGCTCTCGGTCCAGGACATGGCGTACTTCACCTTCCTGGCTAACATCCCGACGTACTTGGACGGCGTACTGAAGATCAGCGTGGAGGAGGTGAGCCTGTCTGACACACTCAGCGCCATCTCATGAAATGTTATAGAGGTTTATTTTTAAAGTCGGCAAATATTTTTTTTAAATCCATCTTTATGTAAGCGTGTGTCTGCCACAGAACGGCTTCATGACGTCTCTGACCTACCTCTGCGGCTTCATCGCGTGCCACGTGTTCAATGCGATGTCCAACTTCATACGTGACCGCAGCCTGCTCAGCCTGACCAACAACCGGAAGTTCTTCAACCTGCTAGGTAGGCGCACAGGCTGAGCTCCCCGCCCGACCCGAGTGGAAGTGTTGATCGTACCGAGGGGTTCCTTTCTCACGTCAGCCAGCATCGGCATCTCGGTGTGCGTCGTGGCCATGGGGTACGTGAGCACGCAGGCCGCCACGGTGGCGCTCATCTCGCTGTCCATGAGCTTCCTCTGCGCCACCTTCGTCGCCGTGCAGGCCAACTTCCTCGACGTGGCCCCCCTGCATGCGGGGCCCCTGTACTCCGTCGGCAACATGGCCTCCTCCATCCTGGGCGTGGTCGGCCCGCAGATGGTCGGCTTCGTGGTCACGGACACCGTAAGGACCCTTCAAAAAATATT